AACCTGAAGATTACTGTTTAGTCATCTAAACACCACTTGACTATTTCAGCCTCTCAGGATGACCACAGTAATGCTGACTGCTTTCTTTGTGTGTTCCTGAGTCATGGTGAGAATGATCATGTTTATGCATATGATGCCCAAATCAAAATTGAGACAATCACAGACATGTTCAGAGGAGACAAGTGCCAGAGTCTGGTAGGAAAGCCGAAGATATTTATCATTCAGGTAAGTTGTCCGTTTCTGAATTCAGTGGAGTTAACACTGACCTATGTGTTCTTGTAATACAGAAGTCAGTTTTCCTGATACAGTCTTTCCACAAGGGAAAGTTTTTGCATCTTTAGGAAAGAAGGTATGGAAAACTGTTCCTTAAAGGCATTTAAGACAAGGATTTTTCTCTTTTTTTAAAAACATTTATGTACACAAGTGTTAATATTATGATTCTAGCTGTATGTAATAAGTAATTTATTGAAGAACAACCCAAATTAATCCCATGTTGGATTGGCTGTCAGTGTATATTTAATGGCAGAAAAGACAGTTAACATTTTTTTGAGAAAGTTACGTACAGCCTCAGCTCAGTTCCTACTGTTCACACCTCACAGCCCTAGGCTAGGCTTGTAGAAGGCTATCAAACCTCCTTACTTTCACCGTTTCCTTCCAGGCAAGTCCCTTTACTTGATCCTTACAGAAGTTGGGTTTTTTTTGGGGGGGGGGGGGGGGGGGGGTTTTTTTTGGTTAATTTTGGTGGTGGTGATGTATTTTTTGTTTTTCTTTATTTTTTTGTGTTGTTTCTTTTCTGTCCATGACCAATACTTGGCATCTCTGTAGAATTTAAAGAATCAATTAAAGGCTTTCTTGTCTCAGAAATACTGTTTGTGCTAAGCGGTCAAATAAAGCCCATATGTAACCTCCTGTTTCACTCCTTGGTTCACAGGATAACGCAAGTTGGAAGGGACCTCAGGAGGTCTCTGGTCCAGCCTTCTGTTCAAAGCAGAGTCAGTTATGGGGTCAAACCAGGTTACACAGGGCTTTATCCCATCTTTATCCAGATTACAATTAGCAAACTCATATGAGAACCTGGCCTTCCAAATGAAAGCTTCCTTAGGCACAAGACCACTGCAAGAATCAACACATTGTTAATTCTTCTTTCATTAGGACTCATTCAGCTTTGATTTTTTTTTTAACCAGGTGCCAAAAGATGGAAAAACATTTACGTATTTTAATTTTAAGTTGGAAACATAATACAATACTCATCAAAAAGCAAATTAATTTAGTTCAGTTCATCAATCGAGTTCTTTTACAGCACAATTGCTATAGCATTTACCTTTGGAAATCAGAGGGAACAGCAAGCATGGAACTTCATCACTGTAAATGAAAGAAGATTTTCATGTTTCTCTCTTTAGTCATAGTTCTTGAGTAATGCTCCTTACCTACTTTGTATCTTTTGAGTGTGTTCTTACCTTCTTATCCTCCACATATAGCCTTTCCGTAATGCTGACCATACCGGGCTCACTTACCGGCTTCTCACAAAAAAACCCTCCCTCAACTAATGCATTTGAGACTGAATTAAGAGCAGAAGCATTACAGCATATAATGATGGCTCTGCTTCAGAGCGTTTATTCAACACTGCCTTGCCAACAGGTCCGAGGGAAACGATTCTTCCTCTCTACTCAGCACTGGTGAGGCTGCTGCATCTGAAGTATTGTGTCCAGTTCTGGGTTGCCCAGTAGAACCAAAATATGGACTTACTGGAATGAGTCCTGCAAAGGGCCACAAAGATGATTAAGGGACTGGAGCATCTCTCATATGAGGAGAGGCTGAGGGAGCTGGGACTGTTCAGCTTGGAGGAGATGGCTCAGGGGAATCTTATCAATGTTATAAACATCTGGTGGGAGGGAATAAAGAAGAGGGAGCCAGGCTCTTTTCAGTGGTGCCCAGTGACAGGATAAGAGGCAACTGGCACAAATTAAAACATGTGAAATTCCATCTCAACACAGGAAAACACTTCTTTACTGTGAAGGTGGTCAAACACTGGAAGAGGTCACACAGAGAGATTGTGGAGTCTTCATTCATCTATGAAGATACTCAAAAGCTGACTGGACATAGTCCTGGACAACCTGCTCTAGCGAACCCTGCTTGAGCCAGGGGGTTGGACTAGATGATCTCAAGAGGTCCCTTACAATCTCAGCGATTCTGTGATCATCTCGGAGCTTTCACTGGACTTCGTCACCAGTATTTTAACTGATAGAGATGTAAATGGGTCTTTATGAATCCAGACTTATGGTAATGTGGAACACATAACTGAACAGAAGTCCCTTCTGGTTAGTGTCAGAAGTATCATATTAACATAGGTGAGCTTGGCAGAGGTGAAAGCATAACAATACTTCTCACCAACAGGCATGTCGAGGTGATAAACATGATGATCCAGTTATTGCTCGGGATTCAACAGACGGTAGTGATGAATCCATTGTCAATGACACGGAAGTGGATGCAGCTGGTGTATACACCCTGCCTGCTGGTGCAGACTTTATCATGTGCTACTCTGTGGCACAAGGTAAGTTCTAATACTTTACATCTGATGTCTGATACTTCACTTCTTCTTCTTGACTTTTGTAGTCTTCTTGACTTTTGTAGTCAAAATAATGAGTACAGTTCCAGGTCCTGTGTTTTACATGTCTGATAAGTGACATCTTGTCTGGGAAAGAGCCTCACATGTTTAGGAAGAAGTGAAAATAAACTGTCAAGGTTGCAGTTAATTTGCCAAGCAGAAACATTCTCATCAATTTTGCTGCTGAGCTATCTGCTGACAGCAAGGATTCCTCTCTTTTCCAGGACTGTAGGATTCTGGTGGCTTACAAATTTCCATGCACTACATGGCTGTCTCATCTGCTCTCTTGTAATGTACAGATACAATCCTGTAAGCTACCAGTCCCTGAACCATGCTTCTCTTGGCTTAGCACTATTAATGACCTCAAAGCCATTTCCCATCTACAATTTCCAGTGAAATTGCATAATTGGCAAAGTAAGATTTATACCCATTAGTAATATCTTACAGATGCAGCTAGCAAGCAGTAACTCTCATGAATATTTTTCAAGTTGCATGACTACTTACATTTGGGTATAATTTTATGTTCCCATTCTACAATAGGTTACTTTTCTCATCGTGAAACTGTAAATGGCTCCTGGTACATTCAAGATTTGTGTGAGGCACTTAAGAAGCACGGCTCTTCCTTGGAGTTCACAGAACTTCTTACTGTTGTTAACAGGAAAGTATCTCATCGCAGAGTGGATATGTGCAGAGACATTAATGCTATAGGAAAAAAACAGATTCCTTGTTTTGCCTCAATGTTAACTAAAAAACTGTATTTTCATCCAAAATCTAAGTAGATTGTTACTTAACAATGACAACTGTTAACTAGTACTCACTGCAGAATTGAAAAACACATCATCTTAGTTCAGGAGACTAATATTCTACAAGATTGTTTGCAAAAACACTGGGATCAAATATTACAGTTTGTATACATAATAGTTTCTAAAAATCTTAAAGCAATTTTAAAGCTAGTAGTAGAGCTCTGTTCATCTCAGGGAATTTGGGAAAAGTTGACTGGTGCAAAGCTATTAAGAGGTGCTCAGATTTTACTGAAATTGGTATTCTAGATTACTTTTTTTCTTAAAAGTTTTTTGCTTGATTGCCACCTAACTATGGCATATTTTACTATTTCCAAAACATTTCAGATGTTGCATTAGATTAGCTTGTCTTGCTCCAAGAGCACAGTCTACAGGGAATGTTTGTAGCGCATCTTTTTAAATCTGCAGACAGCAGTATCCACCTTCCAATTCTTGTGGATTAATTGAGCTTTTTAGACTATTTTATATTTTCTCTCAACACTAAAAAGGAACTTAATTCCTTGAGTACAATTGTAGCATTAATATAGATAAAGAGCTTCTTTTTGCTTGCACATCATATACGTTTGGGGCACAATTACAGTTTGCTGGCATTTTGCATCCTCAGGAGAAAAGCAAGCAGTAGTGAAATGAGGACATGTACAGCTTGCTTTGGGTGACTTTGGGCAAGCTTGCCTTGTACACATCTCTAAAGCTAAAGCAAATAATTTCGAGGTTCCAGGCTCACTTATAACTGCTGGACATCTCTAGGCAGCTCTGCAAAATACAACATATGCAAACCTGCATACTTCAGGCCTTGGTGTTGAAACAGCCTCTTCCTCCTCTTGGCCCCAGAGGGGATCAGCCATGCTCTGTCATTGTGTACATAAAAGTGATAGTGCATTTGTCACCATCGGACATTTCACCTTAGGATTGTTACTACTGTAGCATCAGTAATTTCAATGATACTGACTAGAAGCGAATATTTCTTTTATTATTTTTTACATTACTGGTACATATGCTTAACTGGGGAACAATGGAGAACTGTCTTAATCCACTTTCCTGGGTACAAAATAATTGATTTACTGGCTTTGCTTTAGTTAAATCTTCCCATAAACTATGTTCTGAGTCACAGATATTAAATCTTACTATGGCTACTTTTAAGCTTTGTATAAATCATGTATGTTTGAATGTTTTGATAAATTCTTTTGATAAAATGCAACAATGAAACATAAATGATTTTATAGTAAATGAGTTTGAGTATATCGTACTTTTCCAGCAATATTTACTAAAAAAGCTTACTTGTGATGCAATCAATGCACAGAGCTAGGAAAAAGGAAACAGTAGTCTCAGGAAAAAAAATCCTTAATACTCGATGCAGAAGTTAATTATTCTATGAGCTACTGCTGTGCTATAGTAAATGGTACTAAAAAGACAGCCCTTGTTCTATAAAACATCCCTGTCATTTTACCGGCAGGCAGAATGCCTCCATTTTACTAATGAGATTTGACAAATATCTTGAAGAACTTTGCTTCAGCAGCTTCTTCATAGGGTTTCGGGGGGAAAAAAAAAAAACAAAAAGAAAAACAAAACAAAAACAAACCCAAACCATCAAGTGATCAAATAATTTTTGTAGGTATTTATTGCAACTTTCAAAACTATATAGTGGTCAAAAATACCCAGTTTCTGTAGAGTAACTAAATGTTTATATCAGCTTTTAAAGGGCAATTCTAATATATACAAAACCAAAGTCAGTCCTTGTCATTGATTTCCTGGATTGGAAGCCTCAAGTGCAGAGGTTGGCGCAGACGCCTCAGGGATTCTTCTGCCTGCCAGTGCAAGAAAGAGTGAGAGTTAGTCCTTCTGCAGCCCTCCGTTTTCTCCTCCTCTTTCACACATCCAGTATCTTTCCTTTCTCAGAAGGCATTGGTCTTACGCAAGAAACCAAACTGATCAAATGGAGGACGCTGAACATTTACAGGCTGCTCAGGTCATTCAGCCAGTCTCCGGAGAGAAGCATGTGCCCTGCCCGTCCATACACTCACTCCCACCCCGAAGTATTTTCCTGAAATTACAGTTACAAAATTTATACTCGCAGGCTACTGAAAAAGCATCAAACTCTAGCCTTATGTCCAATGTGGTTCATGAAACGATACCCTGAACCACAGGTCTTGAACTAAAATTAGGGGTAGTTTCAATTTTCTTTTACAAGATGTTGAACACAGGGCTAGTGGGATGGGATGGGGGAGTAAGAAGTCAGGAGTGAGAGATCTGCTACACTTTTTCATGAAGACCACAAAGTTTCTCGTAGGTGCACACACCACCTTTTCCATCGACTCGCCCATGTTCTGTAAATCTAAGCCTTTTACCTAAGGAATAGGATTAAGATGTCAAATGCTGAATTCTGCAAGGCAGTCTCCTTCCAAGGAAGGGAGGAGATTGTGTTACCACAGCAGCGCAGCAAACATACTGTCTCCAAAAGCAATGCAGCTATTCTATTAAAATGGCCAAAAATGCAACATATTAGAGTACACAAAAAATGGATGTGTAGGGCTGATAAACTGACTTGTTTTAAATTCAATTCATGAAGGTCTCCCTTTCTGATGACTTACTGAAGTACTTTATACATCAACAGCAAACATTGTACGGCTATTTGAACAGCTGAAACTGACTGATAAGCAATATGCTGTTTTGAATGTAAGTGGCAAACCTTGAGGTCAATTTTCTGTTAACTGGGAGTTTACTGGAAAAAATCTTAAGCCAAAGGCTACTTCATTATTTAAAGATTGTATTTAAATACCTCTGCTAGGTCTTCTTTGAGCTTGTTATACCGTTCCACATTAAAATGCTGGGTTTTGGATTTCCGATAGAAGTAGTGGAGGAATTGCCTGTCTTTAGCATCAGGATAAATGTAGTCCTGGTAAAGAAAGCAGGGCACGTACTTGGGGTTAGCAAGAAAACTGGATAGAGGTCAGAAGATTATCTGTACAAATGAGTTTTCAATAGAAATTCAGCCTGTTTCAGGAATATTTAACTAGTGCAACACACACAGTATGTTCTGTTAAGAGGCTACATATGAAGTTATGCCCTTATAGGTCATAAGGGCCTTTTAGACACATGGTAGGAATAATTTCTATCACATCTAAAGGAATTTTCAATTATAATAAAGACATAGTGTGATCTTCATGACTGAAGCCACCTGAGTCAATGGACAGTACTTCCAAGGAGTCGGAGAAAGTTCGGCTACTATTTCTCAAAGACTTACTTGAAAGTCTCAAGCAATGGCTCCAGCAGCTGTTCAAAAAAGCCAAGGAGTAATCTCTTTATCTACTCATATACAAAAAGTAGGAATGCCTTAGCCCTTCTTAAAAATCAGTGAGAAGGAGTAAAACTTGTATTCCGAGCGAGCTCTTCATAAAAAACAGATGTGTCTCCCCTTTTCACTAAAGGAACCTGACATCTCATGAGGTCTATAGATCCATTGGTATTATAGAAGGAAGCGCTGGTTACTCTTCCACATAATTCCGTAACAACAAGAGTTTTGCATCACAGAAAGTTCAACATCAAGAAGTCCACTTTGGGAGTAAAGTACAGAGCTAAAGCAGGAAAAAGAAACATTTCTTGAAGTGTTACAGGATTTCAGGACAAGTCTGTATTGTGGAGCTCAGTTAAGATTTTGTTGTTGTTGCTGTTGCTCAGCAAACTTCTTTTCTTCTAAACAATGCCTGTTTCCTGCTCCGTTTCAGCTGTCCTAGATTTACCTCCATTCATTCAAAGTCATGGAAAAACAGTCAGATTATGAAGAACAAAGCAATAACATTTTTTCAGGCACTAAATTAGGCATATTTCAATAATGCAACTGCCAGAATTCCAAACGGTTTCATACCCTGCACTGTTTATACATAAACTCCAGCCGATAAAAGCTACTGTTCAGTGATTTGGTTCCGTAAGGCAGCATTTGCAAACTGGCACAGCACTACTAGTTGCTCTCCCTTTACAGCAATGAGTAAGGTGCCGTTTACTATTCAAAATGATCTACAAAAATTTAAAATAAAAGGAGAGACTTCTTTCATCACTTTTCATTCCCTAGGTTATGAAATATAACAGACAGTAGTTATGCTCAGCAGCTGGTCTGCAGTTCATGTGTAACAGTACCTCGCTTGATTTTGCATAATGTAACGTTCGTATCCAGCCCCATTAGGGATCAAACAAGTCCCTGTCTGATGGCAAGACTACTTACTGAATTAGATTTTCATCAGAGTCCAAACATTGTGATTTTTCAGAGTCAGTTTTCCTCCTTTACAATACTCCAGACGAGGACTTACCTGTTTAGTAAGAACAAAGTAGGCGTAGAAAGCCATGGCACTCCCGTAAGTGATGAAGTATGTGACCGGCTCCATGATGTCCCACGAGTAGACCCACCACGTGAGCCACGCCAACGCTCCCCCTTGTGTTGACATCAGAGCTAAGCCAACCCATAGAAGCCTGGAGGTCTTTGCATCTGCACTGTCCGTGATTCTGGCTTTCATCTAAGGAAAAGAAATATGGAAACCTGTTCAAGCAAACATGAATGCTCCTCTGATGAGCAGCTCCCCAACTATGTTTTCCCCTGCTGAGCTAGATCCTTTTTCAGGATCTTTTACTGACTTTTCTTAACAACTTACCCTGCTGAGAAAGAAAAGGACTGAAATACAAGGGCAACCAGATCTCCTGGCTGTTGTGCACGAAGAAATCCTGCTTTTAATCTCCCCTTTGCACTACTAGGGATTTATGTCTACTGGATTTCTATTTACCATTCAAGGCAGTTCTGGTTAACGCGGAGGCTGGTCCTCACAAAGCAGGTCTGAAGCCAAAGAAAAGTTTGTCCGCTTTGTCAGGCTCTTTCTGGTTTCCTCCCCTCGTGCTGGGATAGCCTAGCCTGCTCTACATCAACATTCATACCTTTCCTTCTTGGATTCTGGCAACAATTAATCCAAACAATTTGCCTTGCTGATGTAGAAAACCCTAGCCTAAGCCACAGATAATTTCTATCTCACTATTGTTATTTCTGTAATGCGTATTCAGAACTCATACAGCAACAGGTGACTAAGTGGACTTTCAATTCCAATAGTAGCCATGCTGAGGCTTGTTCATGACAGCTTTCTCCAGGTGTTGTGGTTTCTACCCAGGGAATGTGCATAGCAGGAGGAAAAAGAACTGAATTGAAAATAATCTGAATTATATTTGAATTGACCCTCATTTACATAATAAACAAACCCTAGCCATTCATGCTGATTTTCTTCTATGACAGGACTTACTCTTGATGAAAGGAAATGGATGTGAGTTTAAAAAAAAGTAACCCCACTTTCTAACCTGTTCAAGAGGCAGCAGCTCTTCTTTCAGATGGTCCAGTTTCTGTAGCAATTCTTTCTCTTTCCTCATCTGGTGATCTTCTAAATGTAGAGCCACAAACAATCTGTGAACCAAGGATTTGATATCTTCCATTTCAGTAGCATGCTCACTACTCAGCTTATCTGAAAAGAAAATGTTTGTCACATAAAACATTTCAAGAACCCACCCTTCTTCATTCTCTCCCCACCTCCAACCCCCAAAAGCAAGACCATCCAATGATAAAAAAAACCAAAGAGAAATTCTTCCTCCAGGCATGTTGCAGTTTTCTGAGACTTCCCACACGTTTCATTAGATGAAGTGAGATCATCAGAGTTATTAAGCATTGCTCTTACCTTTTACAGGAGGTGACACACTGTATGCTGTGTTGTTGATAACAAGTTTAAAGTCATTCATCAACAAGACCTCCATCAAGGTTGCATCAGAGACCTTGCTACCATCTGCAGAAGAAAGATTTAAGTTCTAAATCATTTGTCATAAGGAATCTTAAACATTAGCTGACACTCCTTTGGAAAAGTGCTAGAGTTCTTTATTAATAATGCTTGGAAGGGAACTGTACTTTTAGTAAATCTGGTAACTGACACTAAACAGTAAGGAGGAACACATCAACATAGAGCCTGTGCCTGAATGCTTTCTCTAGCAGTGTCACTCAGACTTGTCACTACTATTGTCCCACAAATGGAGTTTGTTTACCCAGTGTGCAAGCCAATAACACACAGAGTCGAGATATTTTCAAACTAATTTCATTGATGCGCATGAATGGGTGCCTGTCTCAAGACAGCACACCCTTGTCTCAAAAATCCTCATAATTATACACTTAACTCATACATATTCATTGTTATTTTCCTTAATGATTGGTTCTTCTTCACCCGTCATGTAAATTAGTGTGCAGACTCTGTCGTCTTTCATTGTCTTCTTTTAAGTAGGTGGAATCATTTGAGTAGGTGGTCAATAAGTCAGTGGTCACAATCTCCCCCTGTAGGAATTACCTTTTACCTACTTCTTCCCTAATCTTGTCAGTTCCAAGCAGTTCTTCAAGGTTTATTGACCAGACCACAATCATTACCTTTTCTGACATAAACATCCTACTTATTTACAAAGCTCCATTGTCTAGTAGTTAGTCCCTAAACCCTAAATAATGTCTAGTTACTGTTTCCCTATTTTAAATATTAACTGATGGGGGCTGTACACAGGACTTTAGCAGCTGCCTTGTTATTTCAATCATATTATACATATTAATTGATAACACTACGAGCAGACTTGGATTTTCTTATGATTATGACTAGAATCAACCCATTGGGAAGGGGAGGGCAGAAGATAAAGAAGTCTTGCATAAAACAGCAACAAATCACAACATAAAGATCCGCAATTTTGTTTCTCCATCCACACACATTTGCATCTTCACTAGGACAAAGGGTTTTGGGAAATTAAAAGACCTTCCAAGACCTCATCTTCAGGTATAGATTTATGCCTTTCCTTAAACAGGCTCTTCTAGTCAAAAGGAGCAATTCTTGTCAGTCGTGGCGTTCAGATTTTTATTAATGGTACTTGAAATTGCTCTGTTTCACTACCAGTTGTGACTGGGAGTTAAGAAGTAGATAGCTAGACTGTCCAGTCCAAGGCAGACCAGGAGCCACAGAGGCATTAGTCTAAAAAGCTCTGGGGAACCCTTTTTTACTTTTCGGTTTTATGCAAAAAATTACATGAATGCTACCCCATCAGCAACACAAAAAGCAGGCTGAGAAAAAAAAATCATATCTATTTTCAATGACTTTAAGTCAGAGACAAGGGGGAAACTATGACATTCAATCAGGAAAGCTGGTTGTTGAAGATTTTATCCTGCTTTCATATTTGTTCCTTCTTTTCATTCCCTCTCCACCCTTCTTCTTTGCCAAAGGCCCTTTCACCCAAAAGGCAGTATTTGTGTCTGCCTAGGGCTTAGAAGAGATTTGCCAGTGGTAGGCAGATCACAACTTCAATATATGAAAAGGCTCTCATCCAACAGCATGGACATACTGCAGCCCTTCCCAGGGCATTCTCAACACAGCGGATCTTGCAAGATTAGTACTCTGGCAACATTTCTGCTTTCTTGATAACAGGAGAAATAGCTGCATCCAAATGAGAAATGGATCCCTTCCTATTTTACATTTGATACACAAGGGCAGATGTAATCTAAAACCTCTGCTGAAATGTGAAAGATCTGTTTTGTCCCATCTCTGCTTCTTGTTTCCCCTGTTTAAAGGGGCCTTAAGTTTGCAAATAAACTCTTTTCTTTAGTAGATTACTACTCTTCCTGCCTGCCGGCTTTCATATCTCCTCCTCATTGCACCATCCACCGCAGCTAGGAGGCAAAGGAACACATCGTATCCCACAGGGAGCTGAACACACCAAAAAGGAGCTCCCGGAGTCGTTAGCAGTAACACATAACAGTGGATCCACTGGAGCACTCACTGGGTGAAGTCCCGCAGATCCTAGAGCCAGCCAGTAAAATCAGCCCCTCTCCAGGGCTCAGATGGCCCAAGAACCCCCACAGCCAAACATCATTGCTGCTGGACACATCGCTGTGGCGGGGGGGTTCAAAAGCCACAGAGCGGCTGCTCTGCAATACCTGTTTGACCTGGCCACCTTCATCTCCTATACATAAAAAGGGCATCTTCCCCTGCCACTGCCAAGGGGTGGGCAGCGCAGAAAACAGCAGCTTTACTCCTGAAACGAGTAAAGATGAGGCTACAAAATATGAAGATTTTTCTATGTAAATATTTGTCACAGCGCTACTGCCCCAGCTCCTCCATCTGTCCCCATGTGCCCACGACAGAAAGGCACCGTAGACAACCCCACACCTGCAATTATTTATTCACTGGAACACTGTCCTCGGGCCCCATCTGCTGAGGCCGAGGCTACTGAACTCTGCAAGCTAATGCACCAGCTGGCTCCCCAACCCACTCTGTCTGGGTAGCAAAGCAAACCTGGAAGGCTACCACTTTCAATCCAAAACCTGAAATTTTCATGTGCCCATCCACTCTTTTTTTTTAATAGTGTAATAGAACATCAAAGCTCATTTGCATGTAAATTATTAAGGTGACATTTATAAAGTGAAATCTAAGCAAAAAATGCTTTTCAAAAGAATTGCCAGACAGGCTCTTTGTTCTGGATGTGATACAACACTGATTTATTAACCTGTCCAACCTTTTATTAACTGAAAAGCAAAAAAGTTTGGAGGGGAGGTGTTTTATTTTAGAGAATTCCTCACAGACTTTCAGCAAAAGGCTACTTTTCTTCCTATACCTAAGCACAAGTGTTCAAATGTGGACAAAGAGCCATTTTTCGTCTACAGAAGTTTAGCAGGACTAAATCGAATCCACAGAAAAGAAAGTGAGCTATCACACACAGCACTAATACTTTCAATTAAGGTTTGGTTTCATTTAATGGCTAAATGACACAGAAGAAGTGTCTGCACTAAATCAAGGCTTCATAATTTTTCTTTAGTAATAAATGTTTAAATTCAACTCTCGGTACTTGACCAATAGTATCTCTTTACACTATCAGTTTCCTAATGAATTAAATATCTTAAGCTCTTCTCTAACATTACAATCACCTGGCACTTGAAAAATACAGAGCAGAGAACTGTTTAACAGTCACTGTTTTAATCAAAGCCAACAATGTTTCTATCCCAAAGTCGGGGTGGGGAGGGGGAGGTTTAAACAGATGAGACTAAGTGAAAACGGCCCAAATTCCTTTCCACTTTGGAACCTGCTGCCTGTCCATGCCAGAAATGCCAGACTTGTAGACTTATTACAGAAATTATCTTATACTTCACAAGTGACCGATGTTTGCACTGAAGCAGAATGAGTAGTTAGCTTTTGCTGACATACCACAAAAGAATTTGATTCAGCAGTGAATCACAAATACTAAATACTTCTGTCATGCATGTCTCTGCAGATAGCAACACTCAGGTTAACCATTTGCCGGTGCATGTTGTTGGCTGGCCCTGCCTCACCCCAGTAAGAAATCCTTTTTAGCGAAAACTTCCATGTTAAGGAGAAGGCCAGCTGCTGACAATGACTGTTTGTTACAGTGGCTTCTCAAGATAGAAGAGTCTCTTACGGAATTACCTTTTTCAAGAGAATTTTCTACCTTGGCTGCCGAGCAGACACACCATTAAAAAAAAAAAAAAGAAACCAACGCCAAAGTTCCTGTGTACACGAAGCTCATACACACACTGGGATGCATGCAGATCCCATCTCCATTGCTCTAGAGGATATAAATGTATTGCTCTACAGGGTATTTTCCTGTTTTACTAAATGTGCTCTCAAAGGCAACTAAAGCAGCTTCTCCTCGATCTGTGGCTTCCTGATCTTCTAGGAGCATCGATCTATTTTCAGTTCCTTTAAAAGTCCCTGCAGCCCTCTGCAATCTCAACCAGCTATGAAACTTCAGATCAACTTTCCTTGACCCCATCCCTTCTTCTGTTTATGTGTTACCTGATGGAAAATAAATCTTTCTATAGGGATGCAGCTATCCTTTTTTTCCCTTTCTTTCTTTCTTTCTTTCTAGGGGGGGTGAGGGGAGAAGGGAAGAAATAGATGCTTTTAGCCAAATAGCCAAATTCTGTTCTACCAGATTCAAACAAGAAAGCTACATCTCAGTTCTACTTTCGAGATTGCATCCTTCTCTAGGACCAGGACAGGAGATATAAGACTTTCAGAATTGCTGTGGAAAAACTACAAAGCACTGCCAAAATACAAACCAAGTTGTCTTGGAAATAAAATGGAAAACCAGTTTAGCTAACTGGATATTGGCTTTTACGAACAGGCAGACAAAAGAGACAAAATACATGAAAACAGCAGGCATTACCCGAAGACGTGGGATAATGGGATAGACAGTATGCTACAAGGAGGAAAGACCACATCAGTGCTAATGTATCAGTATAGCTTTTTCCTTTCAACCCAAGGGCCCTGAAGTACTGTACTCCAGTTGATGAAGGAAACCTCCCCAAAATCGCAAAAAGCCGCCCTTTATCATTGCACACTTTATCTGGTTGCTTAGCTCTTAGTAAGTTTTCCATATGAGTTCAAGTTTGTAGTAAGGCAAATGGATTCTTCCAGCTCTGGGTAACACTGAACAACTGGCAGACATCACTTCAAAAGCCCGGCTTGTTGTTTTCCAGAATGATCATGGAGGACAAGGAAAGAAAAAGATATCAAGGAAACCAGAAGACAGGCACTTATTTAAAGACAGCATTACAAAGAGAAGCTACCCGAAAAAGATAAGAGGACATGACTGGGATATAAAGAAGGTTACAGTAATATGTCCAATTCTGCATTTTTAATCAGCCTTTCCAAGAGGACTCGGGTATTAAATCTGAAACACCAATAAACCCCAGAAGCATTCAAGAGCTACCCCAACAGCAACAATGCTAAACCTGATGGAGGACTGAACTTGTGCTTCAGGAGAGAAGTACAGTCCATCTGAAAAGGAATGTATTCATCTTGAAGAACGACAGAAATGTAAGATACCTGTTGCAAAGACTTCCGCTCTCTCAATTCCTTTATCTTCTCTCTGCACATCCTGCAGGAATGTCCCTACGGTGGTCACCATTGGCTTAACTGTGAACCGACAGCGTTCACTTCTTGTGGGCAGCGTAAGAGTTATCACAGGAAGACCATGTCTGTAATTAATAGTTACTTCTGGGGGGAGGCGAAAGAAAACTAAGTGAAAAAGTCATATTGTAAGTTGTAGTTTAATTTAAAAGCTGTTTTTAAAACACAGGATGAATAAAGAAAATCACATAAAACATTCTAGATTTCTTTAATGAATATAGTACTTCTATTTCTGGGTTATATATATATAAATGTATATACATAAAATAGATATAAAAACCATGCACCTCATGTCATCTCACCCTACTCCCACAAAAGAAATGAAAAGAAAAGCTTGTTGACATTGATGGGAAGGGGGAAAACCTGCTGGGAAAGCTTACCGTCAGATGGCACCAGCGTGCTGTACGGTGCTCCTTCCCGGCCCCTCCAAGCTCCGGCGGGCCTCCACAGCCGCACCTGCAGCACGGACACAGGGAGCTTGCTTTAGAAAGGTTAGGATGCAAGATTTATCTGGGCAAAGGCAGTACCCAGCCTGTCACAGTGATCTGCTTCTGTGTGATCTGACAGTAGAGGTGTCCGTCTGAAGAAAAACCCCTCGCCTAGCACCTTCTACGTTAAAGAAAGAACCATCCTTAGAGAAAGCACAAACATTGCCAAAGGTATTAAGGTATTGCCCATAGTTAAACTTTTTGCCTAATGTGGTTTAAATAACTCAAGGAAAAAAGGGAAGGAAAGAAAGGAAAAAAATTGCAGTGTTTCTGAAGTGCTTGACGCAACTCTTACACTAAGCCCTCTCCTCCACCCCCAAAAACCAGCTGCTTGAAAAACCTCTACATCATGGTGCCTGAAGGCAGAAGTGTTCTGCAGCAGCTTAGAGTCTGCAGTGTAACTTAAAACAGTGGGCATGGTTTCAGTAAAGTCTTTTACTGCTGAATCATAACAGAATGGCACTCTTACTAATGTCAAAATGTAAGTGACTGAGGTCACTCCCCTTTGCTTCATAATTATATACCATATACTAAAAGTTACCTGTTGACATTCATGGTGTTAAAAGACAATAACAACAATGCAGCTTGCCAAAGTATGGAAGATTTTTTATTTTTTAAATGTGAATGGCTGTTTCAACTCCAGCTGAGATGCTGCTGCAACTACCAGCACCACCAGCCTCTGGTACCACATCGAAGGAGGCAAACCGAGATGCAGGAAGTACCCCTACGCCCTGGGACAGGGATGACAGCAGGTTTTTGAGTCTGCATGGTTGCGCTCCCAAGCCTGTCCCTTCAAGAGACATTGGTGAGAACCATCACGACACTTCAACACAGCCGTGTCAAAACAGAGAAGGCAAACCGCTCTGATTAGACCCGTGTACTTAAAGCAGTCCAGCCATGCCGTGGAAGATGCAACTACTCTGACGCAGAGTCCTCTGCTTCTACAGCTAGTCCCCCTGCACGAGGAGAGGAACAATTTTATTGCAGTGACTCTCACAAAGCAGGCCTTACTGCTATAAACTAAGTGTAACAGGCAGAAGTAGGAAGGGAAATCACATCCCTGACTAAGCTGGTTACAAAAGTTGTGTGGGGGCTGGACCAAGGCCTGGGGTTTGAATTAAGATAGTTGGGGGAAGTGGAAAATGATGTGGGGAGAGATGACAAGGACCGATTCTCCCTCCGGTGAGCTTTATAGCTCATCTTTCTGAAGGCCAAAACATTTCAGAGTCTGCAAGCTAATCTCTTTCGACAAGGCAGGAAAGCTACAAATGCGAGAGGCCTCTGCCTATTCAGTACGCCAAGCACCGCTCACCATGTTCACGTGATTTATTTGTTTTTAAAGAATCACAAGCTTGACTGTTTGGATAAGAATATGCTGTTAGGTTAAATAAAGAATTCATCTGTAAAATGAATCTATGTGTTTCAAAGATGCTGACCTTGCCCTAGTTTTCTACCTGGAACAAGCACTTTTCAGGATTTAAAGAAAATAAAATAAATCATTCTAGGAGTTTCCAACACTGAGAAATTTGTGTATTGTAATCTTCAGGAATTAAAAGCAGTCCGAAACCAAGACTAAATAGCAAAATACCTTAAACACAAGAGTATTGTTTAAAAAAAAATAAAAAAAAAAGGTAGACACTACAAGTGCAGGAATGCCAAAGAGCCGCCCAGAGCTAGGACGCGTGCAATAACTTGTCTGATTGTCCAGCAGAGCAAAAGACTTTCCCCGAAGCAGAGCAGGACACACAGCCCAGCTCACCACTCCTCACCCCATCTACAGGGGACACCTAGACCCACAAAACATTCAGGAACATACAGCCTAGCAGTAGGGAGACCATATTCAACATGTGATCTGTTTTTCCACAAAAGACCTTGAAACGCACCGATTAGAACAGTCCATGGAATACTCAATAGACTTGAATGTAACAACAGTGTTTTTTCTTCAGAGGGATATAGTTAAGGAACTAATTCTTCTGCAGACACTTGGTATGTAACTTTGCAATCAATATCTAGATATCTATCACCCAACATGCCCCTGGCACTGAACTGCACCCAGCCTGTATTTGAAAGTTACTTCATTTCTTTTGTTGTGAATTTGGGTATCTACTTTACTTATGGAGGAAACAATGCATTCAACAATTAATACATATTAAAATATTTAGATATATTAAATATATTAAGTTTAAAATATTTATTATATTAAATTACATTTATTGAAATAAGATCTTTAAGGTATTTCATTCTATTATTGTTTAGACTTTGACATTACCATTCATGATCCATTGAAAGAATCTCTATATACTGAAGCTTTTTTTTTCTTTTTTTTTTAGATTGCCTGTTAATGCAGCCTATCCATTACAATCACCTGCAAAGAATATGTGACATATAAGAAAAGCTCCTGAGCCATGGAGTTGAACTGAGTTTCAAATAATTAACTCTTTCTATACAAGCTCTAGGTTGATTAATTGGGAAGCATGAGGGGCTGAATTAACTTTCTTCCTATGTTCCCAGATTTAAACCTCCAGTTTCAGTGAAGCTATTAAACCATTAGCTTGTGCCCTACACTGTGCCCCTTTTGAGGTGCTTGGAATGACCGCTACCCTACCACTGGAAAAGAAATGAGTCAGCAACCACTGGAGGTAAAAGGAAGACTTGAGCTATGGGACCAAACCAATGAGACGGCCCTCACAGTAACATCAGCGAGAGCTGGAATAGGAGGCATGTAACTGGAATTAACTGCATCTCAACTTTAACTTTGAGATACTGTAAGGAGGACAGCATACTAGTAACTCCTTTATACACCAGTACATGCACCTCTTGGCTAATTCATCTAACCACAGAAAGGCTAAAGAAAGCTATTCTACATCTTTCTCCATTTTGAACACACGTGTGGCAGGACATCTGGCTTGAACACCTCTAATGCAATCATAGCTATGGTCAGGAATCGGGTCAAAGGCTTGAGAACAGCATTTAGCTGTGAAACACCCTTTCTCCCTCAGCCATGTTTGCTTCCTAACACAAAACACCTGGGAGCAGCAGTCAGCCACAGTGCACTACATCTCTTGATTCTGTTCTAAGCATGGACTCTGGGAGGGAAAACTCATGAGAATTTAAGGCAAAGAGTGTTAACTATGATACAAATAATTCAACATATTCCATTAAAAAATATCCGTTGGTGTAAAACAGAAAATACATATCCAGTTTAAAGTGCTTACTCTGTTAAGGGTACCTCCGGTCTCTAATAGCAGAGAAGTTGCCACTGTTAAAGTCAGAGTGGAAATTTCAACGATCTGGTTTACAGCACAGCTTTAGGGACTAATGTAGCAGCATAACTGAGCTGGAAAACTAAGCAGCCAGACATGAGGAGTGGGAGAGACAGGAATAGCAATACTGCATTTTTCACTTTTGAGAGTGGCAAACGACTGAACCTACCTACATTGCAGTTTCTGGACAGCAGTTAGCTGTTCCAAATAAGCAATCTCTTATGATGTTGAGTGTCTGTTCCCGCAAACTTAAGCTCAAATTTATGTGTGACCAGTTACGTGTAAGAAATTGGTATCATCATCACTGTATGAGGTGACATGAAAGCCTCTGATCTCCCTCAGCACTGCATATGCAACTAGAAACCTCATCAGGAACCATAACTTCTGTTCCGTGGAAAATTGTAATGTGGGTGGGAAGGGTGAGAGCAAGAAATAAAAATATTTTTCTCATGAAAAAGTGACCTTGAAAAAGCAATTCTACAAAATGATGTCATTAGGAGACTTTCTGAGAGCATGGAATTATTGTCTTTGACACTTTGTTGATTTCTTTCATTTTGACTTGCCATACCAACATGTTGTAAAAATCTCAATCAAAATGCAGTTAGGCAACAATCACATATTTGAAACTGTTTTGTCTTTGCTTATATACATCTCAGAAGATTTGGTAGTTTGGGGTTGTTATTTCAACAGCAAAAATAATGTAATGCTCCTTCAACATTCGAGTCTCCATTAATTTGCATTTATTAGTTGAAAGCTGTTCATCCCAACCAAAAAAACATAGTCAGCTCAACTCCATCTGCCCTCTTCTTGAAGTGCCATGCAGTACAACTCAAGTATTATATTCTTCTAGCATGAGATGCTGTCAAGAACGCCTCAAGTCAAACTCATAAGCAACCGTCACAGAAAATTATTACTGCAAACTGTTACTATGAATGCTATAGTCTCCCATATTCTCATTTCCTTCTCTCTAAGGCAATAAGAAACTGAAATAGAAAGGCACAATAATAAAACTCACTACTAAGAGTAAGCTTTTTACCCTTAATTACACTGCAGCAAAACACACTCTAATTAAAACGTATCTGGCAGTGTGCTTTTCAATAGTAATATAGTGTTACGGTCTTTCCCTCCGCAGAAGAGGAGAGCTCAGTTATCTCCCAGAGTCCTTGTCCAACACCTGGTACAGCTCCCTCCACACAGCTGCTGGAGAAGGACTGGGGGAAGGGAACAGAAGGGAGAAAAATCATGGGGGTAACTAGTAGTTCCAATGCCTAAACATGAATTCTGGGGCCTCTCTAAGTGTCACTAGATAAGCCAACATCCCCAGTATGCGTTGTTCTCCCCACTGATCTTGCCCAGCCTCTGAAGGAGTGGGCACAAGAAATCACCTCTCTAGATGCTGCTTGCTTGTCTAGAGCAGGAGGAAAATGAGGGCAGGTACATGTTAGCCACTGTTCAGTGACAGCACGTACTATAAACAGCTATTTATATTTTTCGTATTGACTTAGATGTTTTTCTATCTCTAATAAATACACCTGAATGTTCTCTGTATATGAAAGATGTTGGCTCCCGTCTGATTCTCCAAGGGAAACAAACCAAGCAATTAATTAATTATGGAGTAACAATCTGCAATTTCAGAATAAACTATCTACAGACATTTCAGAAAGGTTTAAAACCAAGGGAAAGGAGGAAAAAAAACAGGTGCTGT